TACATTCTCAGAGGTCAATTGGCAAAAATTGCACCGTTGGCAAATGTCAATATCCGAGTCAACATACCTACAGCTAAAGGTTCTTCACATGACGACTATGTTGTTGAGTTCAATTTACCATGGTTGAAGATTGCAATTGTCCACAACCACTTCATGTTGAACGAAAGTCTTACAAACCCATTGTTCGGAAAAGGCAAGTGCAACATTGTCAGAGCTGTAAACATTCTTTTCGAGAAAGGTTTGTTGGAACCAATTCCAGATGACAAGCTGACAGAAACTTTTGTACCAAAAGACGAAACAAACTTTTCACTGTTAGCAAGACCAAAAGTTGTTCCAGACAAAGTTCTAGTACAAAAGAAGTACACAATTCCACAAGGAGTTGGATTGTTCGGATACCAACCTGAACCAGAAGAACTTCCAATGAGGTTGCAAGAACTTCAAGATGCTATAAACAAACTTCCATTGAGACATCCAATTGACGTCAAATTGTATTGGAGAGCATCTGAGTTAGGTCAGAAGGTTTTATATGAAACAGGTTGCTTCGACGATGTTTATGAGATAACAGGAGAAGTTTCTCAGAAGATAAGAGACTCACTTGAATTTCCACAAACTGGACCAATTGGTTGCGACAAGTTCGACTCAGATGAAAAGATATACTATGTCGACCTTAACGCTGCATACATGAGGTTTGTCCAATATATTCCGACTGGAATTCCAAACGAAGATGGTGAGTTCCCGGGAAGGAACTATACAGTTGGAAAAGTCATACAACAACTGTATGATATTAGGAAAGCTTCAAACCCCAAACTTGCAATGACACTCAAATTGCTTATGAATTCGACATGGGGATATTCCATTAAAAAACCTCAAGAGATGAAGAGTAAACATTATGAGAAGGTCGACAACTTTGTTGAAAGGTTTTCTCCTTTTGTTTTGAAGTACGAATTCACAGATCCATTTTCAGAAATTTGTATCAAATATGGGATGACTTTGTGCAGAAATGTTTGGTCACTTATTCTTGTTGTAACATTTCTATTGAAAAGTGAAATCAAAACATTAATACATATATATAGAATTTTTGTGTCATTTTTCTGCATGCACATGATTCTTGGAATCTCTTCAAAAGATATTTTGTTAAAATTATCTAATGAATCCAAATTTGCTCTTTCTTCAACAAAATTTGAATTAAATTTAAATTTTTTCACGAGGATTGATAGATATAGAAGAACTCTATAGACAAGATTTTCATTGTCGCTATATTTCTCTAATACAAGATTAAGGAATGGATATATATTGCAACTATTATTTATCATTTCAGGAACATCTTGAATATTAAGGATTATCGTGCTTAGAATTATGCTGGATTCGTCAGAGTATTGTAACTCATCTGGATTTTGTTCATAAAGCCTTTGTAATGCATTCATTGAAAAAATTATTGATTCTTTTTTGAATTCAGCAGGAACTTTCTGATTTGAAACCGTTAAAATAAAGCAATGTATATCATATGTTAGATCAAATGAAGAACTTAAGTGTGCTAAAAGGTCAAAATTAACTAAAGAAAGGATATTTTCTAATATTTGAGGACTTCGCTTTGAGAGAGATCTTAAAATAGTAAGACTAATACTTACACATGTTATATCTGGACTTTCCAATATACTAAACAAATATTCAATGATATTATTTTCCACAAATCCTTCTATTGGTGAATTGTTGTTTAAAACATATAAATGCAAGAAAAGGTCGAGCATTTCATATGTTTCTCTATTAGAATAAATACAATCTAATACTGATTTATGAAAAAACGCGCAGCATCAATATTAGGAAATTTCATTGGTTGTCTCTGCTTAAGAAATTCAATTTTTCAAGCAATATTTGGAATTTCCCGTCAAATGAAGAAGTATGATAAATCAAATTTACAATTTCAACAAAATTTTCTTCGTTAAATGATTGATCAGTCTCTACTTCTTCATCATTGTCGATTTCCAAATGGAAATTTCTTAAAAAAGAGCGCATTGAGTATTCTCGTTCCATTTTTCAAGAAAAAAATAAAAGATTTGACTTTAAAAATAAAAAAGCTTTTTATATCTAATATAACAAACAACGTATTAAATGTTAAATGATAATTTTGGAAATTTTGACAAAATGGAACAAAAATTGAGTCCAAATTATGAAAATTGATGTCTTTATAATCTATATAAGCAGTGTAGCTGAGCAATATCTTATCTAACTCTAAAATTTAAATATCAATTACATTTCTTCGAGTTCATCATATTCTTTTCAAGAAATGCAATAGCGTAATAGATTTCATCAGTTTCTTTCAGTTCAGACTTACTTTCTATAAAATCCTGAAAATCTGGTTGAAGAAACTGAGAAATTAAAGGATCATCCTTTTCGAATGCCCAATTGATTTCGAGTATGTTAGCAAACTACATAATCCGTCCATAATTTTTCCAATTCTTTTATCTCCTTTTGAAAAGTGATTAAACGGATGCAATCTCTTCAATAATCTTATTATTGATCACTACTTCTGCAACTGATTCAATAAAAGGTGGATGACAGCACATTGCGAAAAATTCTGTAATTCTAGAGACAATTTTTGGTTCTCCTGAGTCATAGCATTGTACAAACTTATATATTTAGTCCTGAATCAACTATTCTTCCTGCTATATCTGCTTTTACCGGTAAAATACAAGTGAAAAATTAGAAAGGCAAGAAAAGCTTTCTGGTGTTATTTCCATGTGTTATAGAACTCTAATATTACATCGGATATGACTGATTGCGCCAGTTCATCACGATATTTGAGAATTGAAATTGATTCATAAAATCTGCAAAAAATTGTAGCCATTTCACTATCTACCTTTTCAAAAAGATCTACTATCTCAACGGCTAATGATACCATATTAATTGTATCATTATCAATGAATTGGGAAACTATTGGCATTAATTCTGAAATAAAACAGAGAGAATCCAAAAATAGATCAGGAAATTGGTAGTAAATGGAATATTCATTAAGTGCGATATATCTTGAAGCATTCCTGGAATAATTGCGATATCTTTTTGGATATTTTTAATTAGCTCAAGATAAATAGATATTATATCATGAATGGATGTAAGAGCTTCTGATGAAACTTTTTTGTCAGAAGAATGAATGTTTTGGAGACATTCGTAGTAGTATTTCTGAATTACTCCGATTAAACCTAAAATTGCAAATTTATCGGCCAGTGTTGGTATTTTACACAATGATTTGAGTATCTGTAGAAGAATGTCGTCGAATCTTTTTGAGAATTGATCGATAAATTTGTGAATTACACTATTTAAAAACATTTCTTCACCGAAATGAGTACTGTTTGTAATGGTAATGATAATTACATTGGCTGCTATTTGTGAAATATCATAGTCTGGTGACAATATGCATTGTAATAAAACATCAAAATAATTAAAATTAAAATGATTTGTATATTTTGATATTAACTCGATTTTTCTGAGTGCTACAATCCTTTCTTCAAGTGAAATCTGTATGTCAGTAGTAACATTAAAAAGTTGTGAAATTAATACTTCAAGTTCTGCTTTTTTTAATGTACCAATGTAATGAATGAACTCTCCTTGCTCATTATTTTCATCTGAAATAGTAGCTGTTCGATCGTCTCCTTCATTTTGGTATTCATTCATTACAAAAAAATTTGAAAAAAAAATTACAAGTTTCAGAATCTCAGTGATGAAACTCATATCTATCTATAATCATTGGTTCAAATCACTGTCTAAGGTATTTTTAATGGAATAGATAGTATAAATATACTAAAAAACATATTAAGGCTTTAAAATTTTATTCAATCTTTGATTATCTTGTATTTTAGAATAAATTCGGTCTAATGATAGAACTTTCCTGTCTTATGATCTAATTTCAATAATGCTAAAAGTCTGTTGTCGAAAAATATATCTGGCCAATATTCAAATTTGATATGGGTCATTATCACTGATAAAATAATGATGACTTTTTGTGTTTTTGATTTAATCGTATGCAAGTGATTGGAATTCTTTCTTGATTTGATTTATTCAATGAGAATAAAGAATTTCAAGTTAAGTGACATGTAACTTTCTCTTTATTTTATAAATTCCTTATTAAACATGCATGTAAAACTGGTTGATCATTAGATTTGAAATGTTCAATTTAAAAAATCAAGAGGCAATGGTGAGATTTCATAAACTTTTCTTACGCTAAAGCCTAATTCTTACCGGTTCATCGAATAACTATATCTTTTTGTAAAATGTTTTACTGTTTTTATGTTTTATTTATTTCTGACACTTTTTATTTTGTTATGAGTTCTGTTCAAACACATTTAACACAGATTGCTGAAGCCATCAAAGCAGGACAAGATACCACTAAGCTTGAACAGACTGTTAGTGATATGATTTTTTGTTTTCTTGAACAACCAATTTTTTATAAACTCCCAATCGAACTAATTTCTCGTTGCATTAAGAATTCAGGTGAAATATTCACTGAAAAGAATCTAAATTTCATATTAGCAAACTTATCTAACGCTCTTATAAAAGATGCAACAAAATTATTCGATCCAATCAAAACGTGCACTGCAGATCAGCTTTCTAATGCTTATCTAAGATCGAAATTTGCCCAGATTTGGCAACAAGCCATTACCTATTCCTGAATCAGATTTCAGTTGCTACGCAACCTCCTTCTCCTATTGAACTCCTTCGTCGTTACAATGACGCCCAGTTAGAACTTGCACGTGCTCAATTCACCAAATCGATCCAAGAACTACGTGATAGCCTCAAAACTTCACAAGAAGAAATTGCTAAAGGTCCAGAAAGGATTAACGAAGCTCAGGCTATCGGTAATAAGCAGATTGAAGAGAAGAAAGCACAATTCAGCAAGAAGAAGACGAACTTCTTAAAAAGTTCAAGATTTAAGAAAAAAGATACGACGATTTACTTGTTAAATTAAGCGAAAACCACAAGCAACGCGAATTTTACACGACAAATACATGAGTCTCCAGCATCAGTACATGCAAGAAAGGACTGAATTAGAGCAGAGATTGAATAAAGAAGTTGCTCCTCTCAAAGCACAAGTCGATAGCTACGTACAACAGCTCAACCAAGAGAAGGAGGCCCAGAAGCAGAAGGAAGTCCAAGAAGTAAGGCAAGCTGCAGCAAAATTTGAGAAACAAAAGAAAGCCAAAGAGCAAACAAAGACAGAAGAACAACCAAAGCAACAAAAACAACAAAAGAGGAAGGAAGAGACACAAGAGGATATGATGGAAGGCTTAGAAGAACAAGAAGAAGATATATCTGTTCCTCTTGCCATTCCAGAGCATCCAGTACCTGTCAAACCAATCAACAAACCAAAGCCAACGCCATTACCAACGAAATTTACAAGTATTTTCGATGCAATTTTGCTTCATAACATTGATGAAGTCAAAAAGTTCATCGAAAAGAAGAAATCAATTGTTAACGAACGTGGTAACATGAGAATTACGCCATTTACTACTGCTGCTCTCGAGGATGATCTCGAAATTATGAAAATCCTCCACGAGAACGGCGCCGATCCAAATATTACAGATGGAACTGGCCGTACAGCCTTCCATATTGCTGCTGCTAAGGAATCTAGGAAAGTTATTGAGTTCCTTGCAGATATCAAAGCAGATATAAGTATTAAAGATAAAGATGGTCGTAAAGTAACAGATATCATTCGCGAGCGTGAAGAATCCCATAACAAAATGCAGGAAGCTTGTAAAGAAAACGATGTTAGAAAACTTGGAGATGTTCTTAGAAAGTGGCCGGACATGGTTTCAACTGTTTTCAGAGGGGGAATCACTCCATTACATTTGGCTGCTGGTTTTGACTCTCAGAAGATTTGCCAGAAGCTTTTACAGTGGGGAGCCGATATTAATGCTGTAGATGATAACGGAAATACACCTCTCCATTACGCTGTTCAATATGATGCACCTCATACGTCTAGATACTTGCTTAGATCAGCTGCTGATGCAACAATTAAGAATAAGGCTGGTAAACTCCCGTTAGAGATGGCTGATGCCAAATAAACTAAATAATATTATATATTATTATTAAATCATTGAACTTTTTTAGAGTTAAATGAAGAATGAGAAATTTGACAAGATTTTTACAACTCTTAAGGGTACATTGGAGACGATAAGTCACCCTCACAAAAGCACTTTTAAGGTTAATATATTGGATGATTCCATTCCACACATTGCAACACGATTAAGGTTAATTTTGAGTAGTTCATCTATCTTCGCCTGGGCACCCTTAATCTATTTGATATTAGCACTGATTTGGTCATTTATTTAGAACTATTTTAATTCTGAAGATTTTTTTTCGTTTCGATGATTAGTGGATATTTCCACCAAAGAATTGAACAATTCCCTCGGTATAAAATTTATTCGTGAAGTGAATAGATTGCTAAATGTCAAGAGAGGATAGAAAAAAAATGCTTTTTGCAAAAAATTGATATGAAATTGAGGAAAAATGATATTAATTATTCTCTATCGACAAGCTTATCAGCAATATTGCTTAGAGTAGAATCTAGTTCTGTTGATAGTTTGGAAAAGTGTTTTGAGAGTTCATTTGCCATATTTCGGAGTTTAACGAGATGGATTACACTTTCTGTAGAAACTTTTAAATCTTTGATATTCTTTTTTGGAATGGATTCAAAATATTGATACAAATCTTCGATATTATTGATTCTATTTTTTATCTTCCTCGTTCTCCTGTTCTGCCATCTTAATATATTTTTCTTTTTCTTCAGCAGATAAATTCTTCCATTTTTCGATTAATTTTTTTGAAAATCACCAAATGCTAATCCTGGATTTTCTGCTGTAACTCCTGGACGTCTTTCTTCGCAAGAAGCATATAAGAGGCGACTTGGGCATTTGAAAAAATGAAAATATTTTTTGGTAGAAATTTTTCGGAGTCAACAATCGCTTTCAATATTGTTTTGTTGTGCTTTTCAAATTTTTTGGTATCTTTCTTTATGAACATTCCATAGGCATGCATATTTAAAGCAAATTTGTGATTTGTTGGCAAATTTATAAAAGTGACGAATATTTATTATTAAATCTCAATATTGTAAAAACTCTTCTTTATTGAAATATATGAACAGATTTTGTCTTCATAATAAACAATCAGCGATTTGTCACAACACAATCACACGCAGCTGTAATTAGCGAATCAGTAAGAGATTATTGATTACAGACGAATGTTCTAGTGAAATTAGTGTTAATATACATCTAAACAATTCTAATGTTGAATCAGTGAAATAAAGCATTTAACATCTTTTCAAAGTTCTCAAAGAAGGTTTTTGTCGAAGAAAAAATTGACTTTTCCACAAGTGAAATTCTTTTGAGATGAATAAAGTTTGATGATCTCTAGTGTGAAGACATAAACTTATAACATTTCCTTTTATGCCAAAATATCAAATTTGATATATATAATTTCGGGCCTCAGGTGTTACGCCTTGCCTTCGGCAAGCATAGCACCTTCGGCAAAATGTGTATATTGATTATTGGAGTTCGTCCAAACTCTCTGAAGTTTTTGGATAATTTTATCGTCATTTGTTCGGAAAAGCAAATATAATGAATTCCGATTCTTAATGTATTATAATAACCAAATAACTGGCTTTTTGAGTTTGGATGAAAATTAAATAATAAATTCTGATGCAAATTTTAATCGAAAATTTTGGAGCATACGATTATTTTTTCGAGAGTTAAAAATTAAAAAATTTAGATTATATTTCATGTGTATAGATTTTTATTTTTTGACGATAAATTTATCGTACGCCCCAAAATTTTTGCGATTCACCTTTGAAATCAGAATTGTGAATTTATGGGCATTTTTCTGAAAACGCCCATAAATTGCTAAATTTTTTGTAAAATTCGATTCCAATAATTTTGAAGATCAAAAGAATCAAATTTTTCGCGCTGACTTTTTCAAAAATTGAGGAAAAAAGTCACGCGAAAATTGTAATTTTTGCTATTTGTTGGCAGAAAAAAAATGAAAATCAAAAATATAATTGAAAGATGAAACGCCAAATTGATATCTGCTTTTATGCATACAATCATTCAGCTTTATGTAATGTTATCTCAAATTAACCAGCGGATTGGTGGAATTTAATGAAGTCATTCTAATTAACATTCCATATTATGTTATATTTTTTGATTTTTCTTTAGTTAATTTTAATATTGGATGAAGATTTACTTGATTCACCGATTCTTTAATTCTTGCTATAGGAATTTTGATCGCCGGTGTGTTTTTAATAGTTTACGGAATTATTATGGGCAATGATTCTTCAATGAAAACTCCAATGGAATATTTACCGAATCAAATTTCATTCTTTGCAATACCTCAAGATATTAAAAAGATAGCAATAGTAAATCTAGTGATAATAAAACCGAAAATTCTGTTTGAAACTAAGGAAATAATTTCAAATCAAGAAAAAGTTTCGAAACAACGATTTATTCCAAGCTGTTTGCCAGACTCCATGCTTCCTATAGCATACCGAACTAGAAATGTTACGATTCTTCAACAGTTGTCCCAATTTAAATTTTCATTTTCAATATTCAACTTGACATTTGATTACTTTATTGTATCCCATTATACCCATCGAAATGAAATTGTTTTCATAATATACAATTATATGTTTTGTAAATATTATTGTTTGTAATTATATTTTCTTTTTTCTTTAAAATAGAGCTGATAAAATGATCATAATTGAAGGAATAATAACAATGATACATTTTTACTTAACAAAAAAAATAATATTTAATATTTGATGTCAGGAATAAGCAAACCAAAGATTTCAAATGATGAAATAGTTAGAATATAGTTCTGATTGTGATTCTCTCCTTCAGAAACTATCTTAATGTATCTACAAGGTCTAATAACTTGGCATTGGTAATATTTATAGAGCAAAGGACCATTTAAGTCATTACATGGTTCTCTTCGATCTATTTCTACCCATTTCTCTCCATCAAGAGATCCTTGGATTGACCACTCTCTCAAATGATTCAATCTTTGTCTAAATCGTAAGTTTGAAGAGAATAGCCTGTAATTGCAACGGCAAAAAATCATTCAATCTGAGTTGTTATATACTATTTGGATATTTAATGATGCCCAGAAGTCTGTTTTCAAATGATTCAAAATTGAAGCGAAACAATACGAAGAAGAAAGGACACTGATGCTTTCTGGATTATTCTCAATAAGTTTACTAAGTATTGGCTCACTATCTTGAAGAATAATTCGAAAGATGTCAATGAAATTTTGCTGGATCCGGAATCATTCTTTCGTAGTTGATTAATCTGAGTATGTTTTGATGAAAATTTTTGTCCTATGTTCTTAATCAGCTTCTCTTTCGTTGGTTTAACGTTTTCTGCCATTTCTCCCATTGCATTTGCCAATGAACGATGGAACTCTCCATTTCTGACATTGAAAATGTCCTTCCAGTTATGTCCATCATCTGATATTTGTATGGCGTACGTATTTGGCATGTTGCCGTCAACTCCTGTAATTTTATACTTATTAAATGTAATTTTGTGGTCCAAACTGTATTCCGTAGAAAGGATTTGACTCGTTTCCTGACATCCAGATGTATTTCTTTGTTGGATTTCCAAGAATTTTCGCTTGGATCATTGGAACTGCTGAAATTGTGAATTAAACCGTTTCTACGAATATTGCTTTTGAAGCTTTTAGTGAGCATATTTGAATATTCCATTGAATTCTTGGCCTTTTTTGTATCTAACGTTAAATGTCAAAGAATTTTGGAATAAAGAGTCAAATCTACTTGTAAAAGTGATTTGATTGCGCTGGGAGTTTCTTATTTTAGACATTTGTATGACTAAATATGCGCAAGAGTCCATTTCTGCATCAAGTAAATTGTTCTTTCAAGTCCAAAAGCTGTGGAATGTAGTTTATCGTAGCTTAAGAAGCGTAGTAATGTTCTGACTCTTGTTTCTTAAGATGTATTTGGAAAAGAATAAAAGCAAATAACTAAAGAATGAGAGACTGCATTTTCGCTTTGATTGAAAACAAATCTTCTATGTATCTGGTTGGAAGGTTCAAAAAATGAGCTTCAAATAAGATTGTCTGAGGAGTTAAAATAAGTTCGAGAATAATTTGTTCGTAAAGCTGTCTAGCTGGTTAGAATTAGTTAGTGCAACGTATTGATTTAAAATCTTATCAATTGAAACGTTGTCTCTTAATGAATTCATCGCACTTTGTAAACAATTTTCAAAGATTGTACTTTAAAAACAAGGAAACACATCAAGAACTGTCTTCTTTGGAATGCTGGCATCGTCGCTGAAAGATATCCAAGAAATTGTGAATTAATTTCATCATTTAAATTTGATTCAAGAGAAAATAGATTTAGATCTTTTAGAGTATTTTTCTGCAATGTTTTGGAAACACTTGCACACTTGTTCTAGTGTTGTTGTAACCTTCTGTTCGTTGATAACAAACATCTACAATTGTTGACATAATTTTTTTTGAGGAAAAATCGGAATTCGTTTCATCCAAATTTGTTCTGAAAGATTAGAGCGCCTAATTCACAACGATATTATAAAGAGTTTGTAGATATGTTTAAGCATAGTTTAATGAATTATTCTGCTAAAATCAGATTCATTTTGTTTGTTATATTTTAGAATAAAACCTGGAAAAATTGTCACAGTCATTTTGTTTTCGCTTTTGATATTCCAATTTAGTGTATTTTATGTATAGAAGCGAAAAAATATAAAAACAATTTGTAAATTAAGTAAGCATCTGTAATATTGGGCAATAAACGATAGTTAGATTATCTTCAAACTAAATAATATAATTCTGTCCAGCGTGTAGTACTCAAAGCATTCTTCTTTTGTTCAAATCCAGAATGATTAGTTAATTTTTGTACATCTACTAAATGAATGAAGAAAATTCTGGAACAAATTAGTGATGAAAAATTAAGCATATAAGGACTTTAACAAAGGCGAGAACATAATGGAAAGGCATTACTTTATCAAGCATTTATTAATGAAGATCCATAAGCTGAGTGATA